CCTGCCCCTGCCCCTGCCCCTGCCCCTGCCCCTGCCCCTACCTCTGTGGCACCAGTTAATAGCGTTTTTCACAAGTCGCAAATTAAGCCTTGTGTGATTGACAAACTTTGTAAACAAAGGCTTTGCTTATACGGGGAAAAATCAATATCAGTCGAATCCATGGTTTTCGATTTCCACGAATTGGAAACAACTTGAGAAACAAATTGAGAACGAAACATTGTTGTAGTATATTAGCACGTGCACTGGGTTCGTCCATGGCTTAATTTGTCCGCATTTCGATCTAACGATTTACAATCATGACTTCATCCACAGGCGCACCTTGGAACGTTTTTAAAGACACGAGCCAGTGGCTCGGGAGAATTAGGCATTCACTTCCTGCAGTCTCGAAGTAATATAAATAAATAAAAAGTAAATAAATAAATAATTGGATTAAGAGTGGATTTTACAGAGTGGCTCTTCTTCCACTGGCTGGTTCCAATTCGAATAAACCCTTTTCGAGTTCCAAATTACTGCTGTGTTTCTTGATTACAGACTCATTTGCACAGGCAAAGCCTCGAATCAGTGTCTAATTACTCGCAAATACCAACGGTAAAGTAAAGAATGCACAAGTTCAACAATACGAACACTTTGAAACTTGACGGACCTTGACTGGAAAACGTGAATATTCTTCACAAAATCAAAGTCGAGAAACACAGCAGTAATTTGGAACTCGAAAAGGGTCTATTTATAGAAGTGGATTTTTACGGAGGGAGGAAAACCAGCGAACTCATAAAACCCTCGAAGCACATGAGAGAACCAACAAACAACTCTAATTAAATACGACACCAAGCCCGGGTTGCCTTGGTGAGAGGCGAGCACTCTCACCGCTACGCCACCGGTGCTTTCTATATCAGTAAATTACGTTATAAGTTTTCGACCTTTACTTTTTGTTTTGGCTCGAGCAATATCACTTACATCAAAGGATATTGAAAGAATTAGTCAGATTATTGTTTAAGCCAACATTATTAGAATGGTGCCACTGCCAAAACGTGATTTCTCCGTATAACAAACAAGCCACGGCACGAATAGATATTTTTTAATGATAAAATCAACCCATGCCATTTTTGGAGTCATTCCAATCCAGTTTCATCTTGATAAATATTGATGAAAGTGAAACGTTGACAGTATCCAAAAATAGAAAATGATTCAAGTTCTGCCAAATTTTATGTTTTGGTTTATATTATAAATATAACAAGGACTCAAAAGAAGTTTTAATATCATGGATAAAAAAGTAATATCGGACAGGTCTGAACATGTTCATTCACTTTATCCATGACACTGCCTTGCTGTTATTCTACGAATGTTATTTTGTCCATATTTTTCTTTCTTTCTTTTTTCGGGGGAAAAAATACTCTTCTAGGGTAGAAAAATATTCTTCTAGGGTAGCGTAGAACAACATTAAGAGGCTGCAATATCATGTAGATACAAATAACAATATCTGATTACTCACGACACTAGTGTCATCCTGTTATTCCGTGAATTCGTTCTCGTGTTGATCTTTTGTTCGCGCTTTTTCCGCCTTTGGGGGCGGGGTAGGTAATTTTATCTTTAGAACAATAGATTCTGGAACTGTAAAACGAGTAGCTAAAGGTCTTAAAATTTAAAGATCACCAGCAACCGTCCTATCAGCAACATACAAGGTAAACCAAGTAGTCTTTACAAGAATGTATTGGGATAACCTATCTATATTTCTATATGCAACATACACTAAAAATATAGCTACAAGAAACCTTTTTTATGCAGAAAACAATCAAATTTAAAACTGTTATCATTTCCTGGTCAAGGCTGTTTTAAGGAATTTGTATCTACGAACTCAAGATTATAGACGGCACACTAGGCTGCAATACTATTGTAAAAAATTTAGGCACAAAACTTGTAGATATTCCTTTAGTCTTCGTTGGCCGGAAATCCGAAAAAAAAGATTTATCTACAGCTGCAGCTTGAGATGGGAATTTTTTTATTTAATCTCAGGTTAATTTTATGAATATTTTCTGATTTGACTGGCTTAGTAAACTCCTTAAAAGTCTTCAATTGCAATTGAAGTCTTCAACAACCAGTTGCAAAACAAATTTCGACTTCTGCAGAAAGGAAGCGCAAGATAGAAAGTTATGGTGATTTCCAATAAAACGCATAATATAATTAGAAAAGTATCGTAGTGAGGCCTGAAACTGTTTATCATTGTTCCAGTTTGTTTTTCAGCTGTCTCTTAGTTCTGTTCTAACGACATTTGTAAGAAGGATGGCGAAGGACTGTGAAGATGGCAACCTGGTGTTGATGGCCGCAAATGAACCAGGGCTTTTGTACATCATACAAGAAGACGAATCCCAGGAATACTTCAAAGTTGGCGTCACAAAGGATCAAGATAATCTAAAATTAAGGTTGCAAAATTTACAGAGTGGAAACTGGAGGAAATTGATCTTAAAGGATGCGGCTAAGGTGAATAATATGAATCTTGCTGAAAGGCGTGCCCATGACGAGCTCAAGGCTTATAATATTAAAGCTGGGGGAGGAACAGAATGGTTCAAGACCAACTACCAGACTGTCAAAGCTGCCTTTGACAAAGCTGTAAGCAAATATCCACCAAAGTAATTTGAAAGGGAAATGTTTCCTCATATTGACATAATAGATGCATAATACGGATCGATAAACCTTTAAATAGCTTTTACTTTTTTATATAAATGCAGAATCAAATAAAAAATGCTTGCTTTGAAAAAAAAAAAATCCAGATTATAAGACATTGTCAGAACAACAGAGTGCTATTTCCCTTCCAGCAGAGTCTCCTTCGTTGGCGATTCTTGGCCAAGATTTCTCGATTAGTTTTCAATTTCCGTTAAGTCGAGAAGGCTAGCTATGGAAAAACGATTTCCGGGCTCCAAAACGAAAATAAAAAATGCAATTCTATAAATATTTTTCTCGATTTTCCTTTCTTACAGGATTAGTTGTCCATGAGATCGTTATTGACAGAAGTAACTAAAGCACCAAATTTGGTACAGAGCTGGACTAAACAGGGCTCCCAGTCCCCAGTCCCCAGTCCCCAGTCCCCAGTCCCCAGTCCCCTGACGTCCCCTGACGTCCCCTGACGTCCCCTGACGTCCCCTGACGTCCCCTGACGTCCCCTGACGTCCCCTGACGTCCCCTGACGTCCCGAATCCCAGTCCCCAGTCCCCAGTCCCCTGACGTCTGAAGTCCCCAGTCCCCAGTCCCCAGGAATATGTTTATCTATCTTTTTTTGGCTGACGAACTGGATTGAGTTCAATATTCAAAATTGAAAATGGAGGTAAATCGTATTCAAAACGTGAAAACATCCTATAAAGCTTGATGACCAAGTTGTTCAAGACCCAAAAGACGGAATCAAACAAGCAAACGGTGCCTAAAATATGCCCCAGGTGTTTCCAGGCATATCATCCATACGGTGACCAACATACATTTTTTCTCCAATTAAATGGTATATGGGATGGGAATATGATTCCCGTATATTCATCAAGGATAAGTGCACCCGTACAATTCCATTCTTATCGCTGGCCAGGAATTATATCCCACTACTATGATCCGTATGTACCTCGCATCTATTGGAACCTCAAGGGTATGAGTCACTACTGTGGATACATCGTTATTGGCATCAAATTCCTAGGAATTAGATAAAAAATAGATCACTAATTATTGTCGAGTGGTCTTAAAATACAGCATGCGCAGTAGTTGTATTGCACGTTTCTGCAGGATAGGTCCGTAGGCATCGGTGTATTTGGCCCGTTTTCAAGCGGACCAGTTTCGTTTTCGTTTTTGTTTCAGATTTTCCAACCAGAACACTTCCCAAGTAATATGGGTTACAGTTCTGAAGAAGATGCGGGATAAGATCGAATCTCAAAGCCGATGAGTGCGATATCGGTTTTTCGAATTCTTGTGAGATTCTCGAGTCGAGGGATGTCAAAGGCATGGTAGCCTGCCGCGCAGACGTTTTTAGTGTCAGCTCGTTCCTAGCCGACACTAAAAACGTCTGCGCGGCAGGCTAAAGGCATGGGAGAGACACTAAAAGATAGTAGAGAGAGTTTATGGTACTATTCGGGGACAATGGGATAGATCAAGACAAGGGATGTTACGGGGGAGAGTGGAGACAATACTCTTGGGACAAAGTATAGCATAGGCCGGCGCTAGACATGTTTGTTAGCCTATGGAATTTTTGAAGTTCTATCTATACGAGGATGGGAAGTCGCAATAAAAAGCAGTGTGCGCCGATTGGTGTTGATATATAACCAAACGTTTCTCGTTATATATAACAATTATACACAACAAGCATTTCCGCCCTGTCATTTCTCTGTCTTATAACTTTATTTCTAGGGAATGTTTAATTTGTGAACCCATTAATTGACCACCTCTTTTACCACCAGTGCACACTTAACTTCACGATCAGTGTAACCTTTATCTGTTATTACTTTTCTAGGGAAATTTGAAGAGCGAAGTTCCCGTAAATCGTTTTGTAAAATTGTTAATTTGTGTGCAAAATAAACTAGTCTAAAGTCTAAAGGGGAAAAAATGCAGTCTATGTCAAACTATGAGGTATTCTATATGATCTAAAACAAATACATCGATAATCGGTCGTTATACCTTAATATAGCTGTCACTACCATAGTTTTCCCATGTACTACCATCATCACTATACTTCAAGGAATATTTTGTAACCCACTGATTAGAGTTACTTCTTCCCTGACTAGCAATCTTCGTAAGCCTCATTTTCTTTTTGAAGTCGATTTGAAGGTATTCGCCAATAGATGGTGTTGACGGTGCCCATGCTATGTGATGGTTTAGGCGGGCATACCATGGGTATGTTATACCTGGAGAGGGGTAGTAGGAAGATGCTGTCATCTGTGAGTCAGTGATCCTGTTGTCTTCAAGACCAACAGAGCTATCACACCCTGCATGAGGGAAATTAAGTACTAATTTAGGTTATATAAAATGAGTATGTTGGTTCGTTCCGGTTATTGGCTGAAACCTTGGTTGTCGGGTTGTCGGGTTGTCGGGTTGTCGGGTTGTCGGGTTGTCGGGTTGTCGGGTTGTCGGGTTGTCGGGTTGTCGGGTTGTC